CCCCGAGCCTCGCGCCCCGCACCCCGCACGCCCGCCCCCGCCAACACTCAACCCCGCCCCCGCTGGGTGTTGGTCCCGCCCTCGGCCCTGCACCAGCAGCTACCCCGGTCCCACCAGTGGTGGGTGTGGCCCCGGAGGGGGTCCGGGGTGGGGCATAAAACCCCATTTTCGGGGTTTAGCCTATGTGGTGCGCGCTCTCGCTGCACATCCCCCACTATTTTTTTTTATATATTTTTTGAATAGTTTTTGATTTTTTTCTTTTTTCTTTTTTGGGGGGGGGTCCGGAGCCGGGGTTGGGGGTGCCCACCCCCGGACCCTCGGACCCCTGCCGGGGCCCCGGGGCCGGGGCTCGACAACCCTGGTTAGGAAGTGACCATCTTCTCAGTTTTTAGCGTTCGTTCCTTTCATCATTTTCTTATCACAACTTACTGGTTCTATCGTGCTCATACATGCACCCGGCTTAGCGTCTAGCACTTGAGCTGAGGTTTTTATCCTCAAGCAGTGCTAGCCCGCCCGATCGTTCAACCATAAGTCCAAAGGGGAGGTATTTCTGTTCTTTCACTCTTGCTCACTCTCACGACTTCATCCCTTACGACATGACCTTGTGTTGGTTGGGTTAGGCTCCTAGGGGAGGACATCTTGATGTCGCTCTACCCATAGGCTCCCTAACCTCTCTTGTACTGAACTGACACTCAATGTTCTTTCATGCTCAATCTATCCATATTCATGATTTTCATTCAACGTACAATTTTTGTCTTGTTCAAAGCTCGCAATTGTCTCACCCCATCTAGTCTCATGCCCATGCCCTTTGCAATTGTTTTTCTGCCAAAATCCATCTTGAGGTAGCACATAAAAAAAGTAGCTCAAGTACTATTCTCCTGCCCATAAAGCTAAGATCTTAGCTAGTCCCTCTTGCACTTTCTCTTAGCAACCCCATTCATACTAGTTAGACCTCCCTTCTATTTATTGCAAAAAAGAAAGAAAACAACTTTTGTCAACTCGTGCCCCATGCCTAGTCCCTTCTTTGCTCCTCAGTCCTTTGTCGCTTGGGTGCTCTTTTCTTATCATTTTCTGCTGGCCCCTGGGCTCCCAGGCCGCCGGCCAGGATTTCTCTCTTCATCTGCGCAATTCCCCGCAGTTCCTCCTCACTGTAGAAGTGTAAGGGTGTGACCGCCACCCCGACCCTCATTAGTTCCCTGGTCCTGATAATCCAGTCATGCTTGATCACACTTATCCATTGTTCGAACCAATGGCTGGGTGTGGGTCCAAATTCCACCTGGAGGGTCGTTTCCTTGGCCTGCTTGTTGAAGGCTGCCCTTCAGCCCTAGGCCTTGAGATTTCATCCGTCTCATCGCCACTACTAATGGTGATGACTTCCTGTACATCATCATCATTCTCACTTTCTTCCTCCCTCAGAGGACTGAATTCACTCGTAAGATTTTCAGGGTTCAGGCTGTGGGGGACGTCCCTTCTTTCCTCATTTACTTCTTTAAAGTCCCCGGGCATCCTTTTGTAACTGTCCAGCCTACCTTGTTCACCACTCATGCCCTCTCTCTGTGACCCCTCCCCCTCACGGTTGTCATGCATATTTTATATTTCTTCTTCCCCTCTCTCTTTATTGCTACACACATCTTGTCTCTCTCCTCCCCCTTCTTCATTGTCGCTCTGCATACTTAGCCTTTCTTTTTCCCCACTTTCCCCTGCTCCTTGCTCCTCCCTTTCTTCTTCGGATAACGACTGCAATTTCTCGCCTTCCTTAAGGGGCGAAGGTTTGCGGACCGACATCTTTCTCTTCCTTCTCCCTAGTATCCGTCTCGGCTGTGGCCCAATGAAGAAGACCGGTCTTTGTCTGTCCCGCGGTCTCTCGGGCCTCTGCCACTCGTCTTCGAGGGACATGTTATCGCGGTTGGCATCATTTTCGTTATTGAGTTTCATCTTGTCTTGTGTTTTTCCTGTGCCTGTCATCACAAAAAGAACGAAAGCCCCCAGTCCATCTTCCCAAGGCGGGATCCCGTCCCATGTACCATTTCCTTATGATGCCGGAGTTGCCTAAATTTATAGGGATGCACCCCTTTTGCCCAGTTTCTGGTCATGCCCATGAATCACTCGGTGTCTCCTTTGGTCCTCATGCGTTTTTCTCGAGGTTGTGATAGATTGCCCCAAACAATCACCCCGATGTCCTCCATCCCTAAAAAACTATGGTACAATACCCCAGGTATTTCTCCCCGTATCGCCCCCCTTGTCAAAAACTATGGTACAATGCCCCAGCCGTCTTACTTAATTCATGCAGTCCGTTCCCATAGACAGAATAAAAAACTCCTCCACAAAAAAAAAACAAAACACATCATAGGTAAGATTTTTGCGGACGCCTTAGTCGGCTTGTTTCTCGTTTTCCTTGTCATGAGCCTCTTGCAACCATTGTTCCACTGGGTTCCGGCTTAGAAATTTGACCAACCGTTGTCCTGGAAATGGTCCTTTTACTCTGGTCTCATCCAGATCCTCCAACTCGAAAGTGTTCATTCCCAATCTCTTGGCAACCCAGTAGGGGCTCTTGAATCTTCTCCCCAGTTGTCCTGACCAAGTACTTTCTAGTGCGGAATTCCTGACCAGGACCATTTCCCCCACTTGCAGTGGTTCTTTCCTGACGTTCCGCAACTGATCCCATCTTGCCATGTTCTTCATTCTGCTATCTAAAACCCGGTTTACCACTTCGTTCATTGCTTCCTCATTTTAGACGATCCGTTGGCACCTGACCTCAATTAACTGCTTCGTCGTCAAACGCAGGTCATTATCCAGCCTATTCCAAGTAGGTACTAAGGCTTCTACTAGGAAGTCAATTTCCCTTCCATACCATAACTCAGTCGGAATACATCCTGTAGTCTTTTTTGGGGTCACGTTCTCTGCGAATACTGCTTGCTTAAGGTACTTAGGCCAGTTCTCGAGGTCGTCAGCTGCTAACTTTGCAATTGTATTCTTAAGTGTTCGATGCCCTCTCTCCACGAGTGCATTAGCTTCAGGGTGGTATGGCTTAATTAACTTGATGGGAACCCTGAGTCTCTTGCATGTGCTCAACACGTCCTGATTCACGAATTTTGTCCCATTATCAGCTATAAATCTTCTGATAAATGAGTGCCTTAGGTAAAAGTCATCGATCCATTCAGCTACTGTCAATCCCGTCTTCTTCTGAAGGGCTATTGCTTCCACAAACCCACTGAGATTATCTCTGGCGTCAAGTATGTACCTGAACCCTTTCGCAAACACTGGCATAATCACGAGGTCGAGGTGAACCAAATGTTCGGGTCCCAACACTCGCGTTGGTCTCAAAGCCTCAAAGACTCGAGTCGTACTTCGTTCTTGACAGATCAAGCAGGTTTGACAATACGTGGTGACCATACTCCCCATTCCAGGTCAAAAGTAAAGTGGCGCTATTTTTGCCAGAGTCCCTTTTGAGGAGCGATATCCCCCTGCCAGCCCGTCATGCATGGCCTGAATTATATCAACCTGCTTTGATCGTCCACATACCACCCTTCTAAGCATTAGGTCTTCCTCTTTCCTAAACAAGTGTCTGTTTCTTAGTACGTACTACGTACTTATCGGCTTCCTCTCTGGCCTTGAGGCTAACCTCCTGAGCCTCCTTGTTTCCTACTAGCAACAGTCCAATTTCCTTGAAGATCCCATCGTACGACTGAATAAGGAAAAACTCGCTTTGATTCCGACGATCCTCCTGTCTGCTTTGTACTTGGTTTACTAGGTACTGCTGCCGCTTTTGTTCCCAAGACTCAATTAGGCTCATGACCGCTTCCCGTCCTCCTTCTACCGCCAGTGCTATCAGTTCTTCCTAAGGGCCCACAGTGTCACCCCACGAGTCATTTTCTTTCTTTCGACCAGACTTTGTAAGCGCTCCTTCCCTGAGTTCCGCCACAACTGTTGGAGGTTCTTTCTCCAGCGCCTTGATCAACAACTCCCCAGATGTGCAGGCATGCTCTATCATCTCATTATCTACCACGAGGGTCCCTCCTTCGTAGTCGAGGAACACATCGATCGGTTCCGCGTCCTCTACTCCTTCCGGTGTTATGCACACCCTGCTCAAGTCGTCATCCCGGCTATGCACTCGATCTTGTAATCGAACTGCCAAATGAACCCCACCCATCTCCCCACGGTGGGGTCTATGGGCTTGTAATTCTTTAGAGCTCCTGCAACGTTTGTCGGATCTATTCTCAAGATGAACCTCCTCCCAAAGAGGTAGAGGCTTGGAAGGTCTTAAGGCAGTGGAGAACGACCGCACTTTCTTCTTGAATTGAGAGTAGCGACGCTCAGCTGAGTTCAGCGTCATACTTTCAAATCTGATTGGCCGTTCTCTTCCGTCTTCGCCTCTTTGGATCAAAACTCCCCCTACGACTAATGGTCCCCTGTCGGTTTCAAGCACAAACGGACGTCCTATGTCATCGTTAAAACACGGGGCGGCAAGGGTGACTTGTTCAGACGTCAGGATGTCTTTGAAGGTCTGAACTGCAGCTTTTCTTTCCTCCGTCCAATCAAGCGAGCCTTCTTCGCGGATCATGACCCGGATGGGTTCTGCTATCTTTGCAAACCCTTTGATAAAAATTCTCTAGAATCCCACGACCCTTAGGAAGGCCCTTACCTCCGTTGTGGTTCGCAAGGGTGTCGACCATTAAGAGATTTTGTCAGTCTTGGCCGGGTCGAGCTTCCTTCCATACGACCCGCACTGGAATCCTCTGATGCTTATTTCCGGTACTGCCAAGATGCTCTTGGGGCCGTTGGCAGTAATGTTGTATTCCAAGAATCTTTGGAGGAGCTCTTTGATATCATGCAGGTGATCCCACACAAACTTTCGTATTCCTGGTTGAATTTTCGTCTCATCCTTGTCTCGTGCACCTTTGATTCGATTGTCGTCAATATATGGTTCGCATTTTGCGGGGAACATGTCTCCCGCAACTGCGAGCATCCTCCGTTGTGCTTCTGCCACAACATTGGTGAAGCCCATAGGATTCACTTGCATCTGCAGCTGCCCCACCGGGGTATGCATAGCCGTGTAGGGTCTATCCCGGGCGTCCAGCGGGAGCTGATCGTATCCAGAGTAGAGGTCTACCATCAAGTAAATGCTTCGCCTGACATGGGATTCTGCCAACAGATCTGCTTGAGGCAGTGACCCCGCGTCCCGGATGATGATAGCATTTAGTTTTTACAGATCCTGGATCCACCTAAGTGACTTGTTAGGTTTCCAAAACACAAACCATTTATTCACATATGGTGACGTTGTGGGTTCTGCCACAAAGGAGTTCATCTTTGCTCTAAGCAGTTCTGTTACTTCCCCTACTACTCCAAAGCAGGTCCCTTGTCGTTCCAACATTCGTGCTCGAATGTACGGATCCTGACCGAAGGTATCAATTTCGCATCTAATCGTCCCTTCTGATGGTCATTGAAAGCAAAGGCTAGGTGAAAATCTTGGCATGCTTTCTTGATCAAGCATGTCTCCTGCTCCGTCAGGAATGCCTTCACTCCTATATTCATGGTCTCTGCTACTTCATTCGGTATCCGATGACCCTCTGTTGCTCTTCTTTCTCTGATCACTCGGAGGACTTCTTCCTCCATTTCCATGGCCTCTTCCTTTCTCGTTTCTACCAGTATCGAGACGGGCTTAGCCTTTTTCCCTACTGGCTTGTATTTGCGAACGCTTCCTTCCGGGATCTTTCTCCTAAAAAATGAACAGCCGACATCGTCCGAGGTGCTTCGGCAATCCGAGGCTGAATGCTGATCAGCTTCCCATTCAGGCAGTAGCCACTTCGGGTTTCTCCTTCAAATTTGGTGAGCGCGGCTGGGTCCACGCCCACTTTATAGTACCAGATGGCTTTGATGAGGTGCAATAGGTCCGGAACTTCTAGCGTTATCCCGACCTCCTCATTTCGAGCCTGATTCGGTCTAGACAAGCAGACTCCTAGTTCAACCTCCGTCTCTTTCTCTACTACCATTACTCCCAGGGCATCGTCCTCCTGTCTCTGTTTTTTCTGTAGTATCCTCATCTTAATTCATTCCTTCTTGTTGAACACCTCATCGATCATAATTTCTACCCTCTCTCTCATTCCTTCCATTCGCGCGAAGGCCCCCTTTCTAGCGCTTTCCCTTGAATGACGGTGACCATGTTGCTAATTTCCCTTTTGGCGTGTCATCGCCCGTCCCGATGAGACAGAGCAATTCACCACGTCCTGCCACTGGGTTTTCTATGTCTACCATATACGTTCCATCATGCAGATGCATACCGATCATTTCCACGTTCGCACAGCATGGCCTTCCAAGGATTACGTCATGGTCCATTTCGTCCATGACTGTCATCCGTTGGAATGACCAAATGGATTCTCTGACCCCGACTTTGACTGCACACTTAGTAACGTACTAGAGAAGGGAATTCCCCCCCCTGCCCCACGAACGCTTCCCATTGTTTCTTTGTTTACCGGTCATCCCGTAATCTTGGCGAAGTCTTTTCTAACGAGCGTTATTTCAGCCCCACCGTCTACGAGCGCATCGATGTGGTGGCTTCCGATCTGGACTTTTAACTTTCCTACCGGTAGTGCGTGGAAGCTAAGTTTTGTCCCAGGTGGTGCCCTCATAACCTCGCCACCTTCACGGTCTGGCATGCTTAGCCGGATGTCTACGAAGGCCTTCTCGAGATCTTCCAGGTCCCCGGGGATCCTTTGGAGGTTGGCGACCTCTCGCGGTGCCTCCTCTTCCTTTTCTTCCTCTTGTTGTTCCGGTCCTTCTTCTACCTCTACTCTTCGCCTCGTCAGTAGCTCCTTATACCTTTCAAGAGCCTAGGACTTGCCTGCAACATGGTTTGGAATGAGGCCGACACCATGGTCCCCAACAGTTTGGTAAGGGTGTCATCGATCTCGGGCATAGTTAAAATAGGAATCTGGTACCGAAATTTCTTCTTTGCCGAGGTCGCTTTGTCTACCGGGGTCTCTTCTCTAGGTTTCCCGTAGACTTTTTCTTGCCCCTGTTCCTCAGCCTCTTGCGGCATCCCGGGGCCATCCCCAGCATCTTCCATGACGACTTCCTGCACGACCTTCCTCTCTGTTGTTCGCTTTCTGGCGGTCACGGTCATCCTATCTTGCCTGTCGTTTTCTAAAATAAAGTTGGCCTGTGGCCCGCGCCCCCGTGCCTGTTCCCAGGCGAGCTCTGCCACGGGCTCAGCCTCTACCGCGGCAACGTCGAGGTTGTTGAGTGCGATTATGGCCCGGCGCATCCCCCCTGGGGAGTTCCAGTTCACTTCCTCTCCTTGGGGACCTGTGATCTCCCCCCGCAGCGTCCTGGAGCACCTTTTGTGTACGATATCATGGTTAAGCCTTGGACATGCCCGTACGACCAACGTGAAATATTTGCATTGCTCATTGGTTGGGTCTCTCTTATTGAACGCTTGGTTAGCTATCCCTGCGGGAGCCACGACTTCCTGTGGTGGCAAGGGTGGACGAGCTGCCTGAGTTTGCATCACCTGGGCTTGCATAACCATTAATGCGTTCTCTACCCTTTCGATCTTTTCGTCTACCCCATGGACGCGCTCATGCAGGCTTTCTATTCCTTTTTTCACCTTGTCGCCCGTCTTACCGGTTAGGTCTATGACCTATCCTTCTTTTAGCAGGGTCAGCGAGTCGGTCACAACCATCTTTTCTGCAATATCTGTTATAGTACTGAAGTCAACGTCCCTTGTATTCAGAAACTTTGTGGTTTGTTGGTAGGCCGATAGGATCTTACCCTTATCAAATTCGGTGAATTGTCTTAGAAAGTACTTGCTCATAATTCGATCAGTTATCCCCGGGATACGCAATGTCACGAGAGAATTCTCTCTGGAAATCATTGTATGTCGTAAAGTTCTTCCTGTGTACCGTAGCCAGCTCTGCCTTTATAGTCGTTTTTTCGGCGACCAGGTATTTTTGCATCATTATGTCCCGGGCCTCCTTCCAGGATCCACTAGTGGCGACAATAGTCATTATATCCCTTCCTAGGTTCAGCGAGACGTGCTGCCCTAGATGTTCCATCTTCTCCTCCTCACTCCATCTTAGTAGCGCTGCCAAATTCTCGTAATCTATCAAAATTTTCATGATATTTGCTCCATCGAATGTCAGTTTCTTCTTGGCATCCGCCAGATACCCCTGATTCTTATTTAGCGCACGCGTGAGGAAAAATATCATTTTCTTAAGTCCCTCTTCGGTTCCTCCTGACCCGCCGGCACTGCCGAAGCCTTGTTCTCCCTTCCCCGTTTCCACCCTTTCTCCAGGTTTTATCGTTCCTTCCGGGTCGAACCAACTCAGCACCCTTTCCCTCAAGTTCCAAAACCCTTCACATCCTTTTGCGATTATAGGCGAAACCGCTGGTCGGCTTGCCCCGCTATCTATAGCTGGCGGGTTGGTAGCCTTCTCCGCCTCCCTTCCTGAGGACTCCGTTCTATCCTTTCCTTTCTTGGTCGGTGTCTCCCTACGCCCCCCGGTTCTATCCTTTCTCCTTTTTATAATATCGTCTCGGCTTCCCCGTCCTTGGTTTGTTCCTTGGTCTTCATTCAACCTTCCTTCAGTGGGGTCCCCTTCGCCTTCGTTTATCATCTCCTCCAGGAGTTTCGCTTTATATTCCGTTGTTGTCCTTTCTATCTCGGCTAGCTTCTTCCGGGTGTCCGTTAGTCTTACCTTCTTTGACAGCGCGCCCTCGGATGCCCGTGGCGCCGAACTGTCCTTACTCTTATCCCCTCTAGTTTCTTGAGTTCCTCGTTTGCTTCCTCCGACTTTTCTAGAACTTTCCCCGGTTGTTACTTCCTTTCTTCCCTCCTTAGTCCCTTCCGGATTTTTCGACTCTCGATCCTTCGCGGAGGCTTCGTTCTGCTCTACATCATTTTCCGTGTCCTGACTCCCCTTGTTCCGCAGGCTCCCTACTTCTTCCTCTGTCGCCATCCTTTTCTAATCCTGCACATGGGAATTTTTTTTTTCTTTTCGAAACGACCGGTTGTTCACAGCTCTCCATGATTTCCAAGCTCTCAGGTTTGCTATGGTCTCCCTTTGTCATTTCGATACTTTTTTCCTATAGCGGCCGTAGCAGGTCTGACCTGCCTTTTCCCGCTTTTGCGGGGTACCGCTTTTCCCGCTGGAGAGCCTTCTGCCGAGATTCGGTGTTCTGTCACCACCGCTCCTCGATTCTAAGGAGGTGTCTCCGTGGCGGGCGGGTCCTTGTTTCGAAGATGACCCTTTGCTTTTGCAGCCTTTGGGTAACCCTAGCGTCCTTGGTGGTAGTGGCCACTGGCCATCCTGGTCCCTTCCTGGCACGCCCTTAGATGGAATAGGACTCCGGCCACGATTCCCCGCAGATCGTTATTCCCGCTTTTGTTTTTATCGTTCCATTGTTAGCTTTCACCTTTGCCACCCTCCCCGGTATTTTTCTCACACCGGTTCCTCAGGCCCGTCCTGTTCGTCAGGTTCTTCAAACAAGTTAGCCACCCCCACAAGGTAATTCTCTCCCATTCCTATTTCTCTGATAATTATTGGCTCATACTCTTCAAAAGTGGCGCCCCGAATATGAGGATCTCGATGAGTTCTAGTAATTCACGGGCCTGGTTTCCCCAAAACGACCCGTGTCTCACTGACAGATCGTAAAACATCCCCATTGTTTGTGGCTGGAAATGGTGAGTCCATATTAGGGTCGAGTTCACCAAGTCCCTTGCCCTCGAGAGGCTGCCGAATACCAGATCTATCATGAAGCGGGGCACTCGGCACCGCAATCCTGCCATCGGGGCTCTAAACTCTTGCCATCCTCCTACTTCCACCCGAGTTCTTAGCCCTACGTTTCTTCTTCCCCGAACTTTCTGGCCTATCTGGTTTAGCGCCCTGGCCGCCCTCCGGAAGATTGGCAGCAGCCCATGCCCTAGTGCCATCTCGGTCCCTAGCATGTGCCATCCAATCTCAGGTAAATACACGGTCCCGGTCACTCTTAGGTCGGAGTATAAGTCATCCCCTGGCCCCCGATTGAACCTCATGTCGCTCCACTGACAGTCCATCATCATGAAGGTTTGGTCCCTCCCCAAGGTCACAACTCTCCATTCCGTGTCAATTCCTCGGACCACGTAGCTTGCTGGAAACGACAACTCCCATCCGTTTCTGCTTCCCGTTGGTGGGCGAGGGTGTATGGGTCGTCGCGACATCCGGGTGCGTCTCATCGCCATTGCTGATTAGCGGGTTCCTGCGTGGTTCAGACAGAAAACAAGTTTCTCTTATTTCATCCGCTCCCTCGGTTATTGCGAGCTTATCTTTCCGCTTCTTACCCCCCCCTCTTTTCTGTCTCCCTTGTTTTTTCCTTCCCCTTTCTACTGGCCTGCCTCTTCCCCTGGTAGTTCAAACAAACGATGAACGTCGTCTAGGTAGGTCATTCCTCGTCTTACTTCGCGCCTAATAACTCTCCACATGGTTTCGTCATTTATCATTGGGACTCTTGGTATGGTAGTCACAGCCGCTCGTAATATACATAGCACTTCGTACCCTTGTCCGTCCTCGAAGGGCCCCATTTCCAAGAAGGTCTGATAGTACTCTTGATAAACTGAAGCTTCTGCAAAACTTATTCTAGCCAGTGCCTCTACTGCCTGCTCAACCCGCTCCGTACCTCCCATCTGCCTTAGTAGGAAGGGCGGCAATCTCATTCGCATGATTTCGTTTGGTAGGTTGAAGATTCCCGCCATGACGGTTCCTACTTCTGCCGTCACTTCGTTCCGTTCTGGATCTGCGAATTCGAACCCCTCTCGCCAGGTTATTTGCCAGACCCCTTCAAACATTCGCACGGGGTCACCCCCGGAGGCCAGGGTGATCCCAAAGGTTCTCCATCCTTCTTCCGATAGGTATAATGACCCCGTGGCATGTAGGCACCCTGGGAGGTCCAAATTTACACCCCCGAATTCCCTTCTTGCGCGACATTCCACTTCCACCACTAGGTACACTGTGTCCTCCACCAGCTCTACCCCCACCCAGTCCATTATCGGGTTGCTCACCCTGCTTCTTGCTGGCAAGCTTACCTCTATCCTGCCATCCAATGCCCTAGGTGGCAGAATCCCGCGAGGTCTGTCCTCCCAGAGTGTCATTCGCCGGGCCATGCTGTGATGTCTCCCCTTCTAGTTTCCCCTCGCTCGATCGCAGCATCCACCGAGATTCCACATTTTTCTGGTTTAGTCCTTTCCCCTCTTTCCACGGCACCGTGTCTCCTACCCAACGTACATTATCTCTTGATGATGCTCCTACTCCATACATGCATCGACCCTTCCCCTTTGTCGGCCATCGACGCCCCCTTTTGCCTACTTGCTAGTCATTAGGCTATAACCACAGTACCTCGAACAACAGGAAGACATCGCCTACATACGAGGGGGTTGCTGCCACCTCGCGGCGAAGTATCGCACCCTCAGACCTTTCATCCACCTCGAGCCGGTCTTCTTTAAAAACTCTTAGGATGTTGACTGCTTCCCTTGCTCTGTCGCCATGGAAGGGCCCCATCTCTAGCGAGATCTTGTAGTAGGCATCGACCAACCATGTAAAGCCCAAGTCCACCTCATCCAGAGATTTGGCCACCGCGCGGATGTGTTCGTACTCGTCGAACCAATCCGCCACGAAGTGCGGTACCCAAGTCTGGATTAGTTGATAAGGCAGGCTAAGCCCCTCCCATCCTCCTATCACGGCCCTACTTCTTACCGCATCCCATTCTTTGTTGGCAAAGTCATAGCACATATCACGAGTCTGGCGCTCGGCCTCACCTAATATCCACATTGGGTTCTACCTGGATGCTAATGTTACACAAAACAAGTGCCAACCCTTCTTTGACAGATACACTGTGCCGAGGGCTTCTACGTTTCCTTCGGCTACGTCATCCCATCCTTTTTCCTCTCTGATCGGTTTCCACACCCTTTCTACCCATAGAAATGACAACACAAACGCAATCTCCTTTCCTACCCAATAGCAAGCCGTCCCTCTCCACTCATTCCTTGTCGGTAAGGTCATCTCTACCCCCCCTTCGAGTCGCCTTGGCATCCATCCCCTGAACATTTGCTCGCTTCGACTTTGTTCTCTAACCATGTCTTTCCCTTGCACAGTGCTAACTACCCATATCATTCCTGCCCCGGTACCCTCTTCCCTAGAAGTCCCAATCCTCAATTGCATCCTCCTCCTCCTCATCCGAGGAATAGTCCTCATCTTCATACCACAAGTCTCTTAGTCCATCCAAAAATGGTTCCCCTATCGCTACATTCATGTAGACTATTTCCCAGTGGACGAAGCTCGGGACGAACACGTCGTCCATGCTGAGACAGTTTAGCATCTCGGCTAGCTCCTTCGCCCAATTCCCTTCGAAAGGTCCCATGTCGACTGACAAACGGAAGAAGTCCTGCCACGCCCCTTGGTAGAGTCCAAGGTTCGTCATGGACTGGCATATCTGCACCAATCTATTCCGGGTCCCAAAAACGGCGTCCACTAAGAACGGAGGCACGATGCACCTCGAACGGAGGCACGATGCACCTCATTGTTCTGAGCGGTCGCCTCACGTTCCCTCTGTCCCCGAATTCCATCCGCACATCTATCTCTTCTATTTCCATCTTCTCCCGCCGATTGGCAACCCACGCTACTTCCCGTTCCGCCTGCCTGAACAAATTATACGGGACTATTCCTAGCGCTAAGTCCACAACCATGTCGTTCTCACCTTCCTTGGACAAGTAGGCCCACCCCCGGGCTTCCACGATCCCTCGAAATTCCAGGTCCGTCAGGCTTGGCGATAGCCGGGTTAGGCTGACCTTGGTCCACAATGTTTCTATCCAGAGGAAGGCATCCCCGTCGCCCAACATCACGGTTTGATATGCCGGCTCTAGATCCGTCCAGGTCCCTTCCTCCGGCAAGACGACGAAAACCCCGCCCCTAACATCTATTGGCGTTTCCGGTCCGTTGGAACAGGTTCGGGCCGACAGCCACCGCGTCATCTTGGTTCCAATACCCGACCCTGTTTTTCACAGCCAAACACTGCCCCCGGTTTTCGGGTCCGGTCAGCCTAAATCTTGGATGAGACTATTTCAAACCCCTCATCAAGGTCTAGCCTAGTCTACCTCCCCAATTCTTAAATTTTAACCTCCTTCGGGTACTCTCAAGTCGGCCCTTCTTACCCAAGCTCATTTTCTTGGTTCTTTCCAAGCTGACCTCTACATCCTTGTCTCATAATCTTCACTCACTCGTGCGGACTTAGTCAGAGGGTGATAATAGACTAGAATCATAACCCCGTCCACCAGCTCAAATCTTAGTCAATTTTACAGAGGGGGAACAAAATATGAAAACTCAGGCAATCTCACATACAAGGCATGGTCATCTCCTCACCAGCCTTTTTCCCAGAATGGTCTCTCCACTGTTACTATCGGTAGAGTTTTATCCCATACCTCAAGCACAGCTCAACCGTCGCGAGCGCGGTACCCAGGCTCTGGCAAAGGGTGTTACCCCTCTCCTTTCGCCCAAAATACCCCATCCCGTCTTGCCGCCCTTGCACACCCCATTGGTACCGGGAATCACCCCGCTCGTTAGGAGCAAAAGTCAGTCGTTCGGACATTCACTTCCATCGGTCCGATAAGAATCAGCGTTTCTCATGCCATTCCGTGAGAAGCTACTAATTGTCTCTGAGGCTCCCTCCTTGCCTCGCATGTGGTGGTCCTCCCCCGCCAGTCAACAAACTAAGCCCCGCCCGAGGAGATGTTTCGCACCCCGCCTGGGCAAGGTCATCGAGCCATGCTCGGACCGCCCAGGTGAGAATGCTACTAATTAACCGGCGTGACAAACTCCCGCCCGACAGCTCGATGGTCTGACCTCCGCACACGACACTCGACGAACTTCAAAGAGAGCGACGTTTCGCACTCCCACACCAGCTGGTGCAGACCCATCTTTTCCTTCCGAAAGGCAGGACGCTCAGTTCCCCACAGACAGATGACAAGTCCCAAGTGGGACACACATAGAATAAGTGTTTTTCCCTTAGTGCTCCCAGCGCTTCCTACCCATGCCTCACAATTTTCTCTCAGGACTGTGTGTGCCATTCCCCCTATTGCCCATACACAGTGGCTGGTTCCTTCTCGTGAGCATCTTTAAGGGTGAGCTAGTTTTCTTTGGAGTCTAGCAACTCCCTTCATTCCTTTTTTCTTCCTTTGTCTGTCTTTTCATAGGGTAGGATTGTTCCTTCTTGATGAACCTTCTGTTCATGTTGGTTCCTTCAAGCCTTCAAGTGTACAGTGCATAAGGCCGCTGGGCTCAGAAGAAGAAGGGGAGGAGAACACCCAGTCGGTCGGATCACTCCGCTGCGAGATTTTCATTGGACCCCGGCCGAAGCCGAAGCACCAACCGTCTGCCAGGTAACCGGAGCCCTTCTTTCACATGAAGAGTAAGGGTCGACCTGCGACTTGTCCGAGGCTTCCTCAGTCTGGCGAACACCAGTACCGGAGGAAGGGGGGCTAGGGTCATTCCACAAGAAAACGGTTGATCTAGTGCACATCACGCATGCTATACCTCCAGGTCTAGCCATGCCATTCGCCCAGCCGCCCTCAAATCTGATTCTCTCAAGGGGAAGAGCAAACACAAGTTCTCATTCCTTTGTCTTAAGTTATATACACGGCCTTGAGTAGGGCGCCCCCCTCGGGATCGCAAGGGTCAGTTTAACCCATTGCCCGTCACCTCCACCAATTTTGTAGGGCCAAACCCCGGTAGACTTTCGAGCCTTCGTCGACCATACTGCGGGTCCCAGTTGGCTCGACCCACCCACGCTCATGCTCAGGGCGCGGGCCGTTCGTCCCAGGGTCACCCCCACCTAGTGCTTTGAGATGGATGGGGTTGGGCCATCGCGCGACAGAGCTTTGACATTGGGGATGAAGCTCAACCCTCACGCCGGATGGTAGTGTCGCTGGTCGTTCCGCAAACGATGATATATATATATTTTTTGTTTATGGTTGTGTTCTCAAGCAATTGCTCCTTCCAATACGCAGACAGTCCAAGGGTTCTTTGAGAGTTCTTCTTCTCTTGTGCGCAGGCTAAGCGTCATCCTTAGGCCACGCACCATGGCCCTAAGCATTACAATCCTACAGCGTCATCGGGGTGTGGCAACGCCGTCTTCTCCCTCGCCTCTACGCACCCCTCGAGTCTCATACATTTTATCCTTCATTATTGGAACAGGCCCCTTAGTCTTTTCGGCGTCTTCACACGCATGCACAGGCTACTTCACATTCCGATCAACAAAAATCGCACTTCCTTCATTCCTTCACACTTCAAGTCTCAAGCACAAAGGTCACTCTTCATGGTTCGGTTTTACACTAAGGACCCCGTAGCCCTTATGCCCCTCTTCCCTTTTCCTTTACCGTCCGGATTCTCCCGGCCTTGTCCCGCTCAAGGGATCCCAAGCCTTTACTTACCTGCGCAATCCCACACATAGCAAAACCGATACAATCCCCCATTGGGGTCAACACATAGCCCTTCCCGCATGCCTAACTTTTCTTTTCCTTTGGCTTCTCTTTGTTCTTCTTCCTTTGCTCAATAAGTCCACACTCTTCTCGTAGTCATGGAGTCGGAAAAATGGTTGAGTCAAGCCGACCTTTACTTCAGGTTACACTTTTTCTCGGACTTTGCCTCCCCTCAATCTCTCAAGTGTCCTTCCTCTTCCTTCTTGGTGGCACAAGGGACCGACTACCCTTCCCGTACTCTCTTTCTCCACCAACTGAGGCCTGATTTCTTTTACCGTTCGTCCCCTTGCAATGTAACAAATGAATGATGAAGGGTTAGTTATACGCCATGTGGGGAGGGAGGGGGGGGGAGAGAGAGAGAGAGAGAGAGAAAGAGAGAGAGAGAGAGAGAGAGAGAGAGAGAGAGAGAGAGAGAGAGAGAGAGAGAGAGAGAGAGAGAGAGTATGAAAGAGAGAGAGAGAGAAGAGAGAGATATAGATAGAGATAGAGAGAGAGAGAGTATGAGAGTAAAAGTGAGAAGGAAGAGAGAGATAATCAGTCCTAATTAAATTATCCTTCCGTAATAGCAGCCAAATGCAAGTCACCCATCCTACAGTTGTACCAGCCAAATGTCGATCACTCATCCCTCAGTTGTAGCAGCCAAATGCCGGTCACCCATCCCATAGTGAACGACCAATCAAGTGTGAAACGGAACACTACCACACAC